CAATGCACTTAATGTCTCTCCCATTTATCATGATACATATTCATACATAACTAACAGTTAATCAAGCATTTAATCATATTGATGTTTTTGAAATTGAACTACCTCTGAAGGGTCATTAACACAGAATGCCTTCTTCATCACTCTGTTTTTATGGTTTACTACTTAAAAACACTAACATCTCACATCTTGTGAAAGTTAAGAGACTCATTGTGTTACACTCCATCTAGCAGTTTAAGAAATTAAATTTGTAATTAATTAATTTCGTTTGAGTCAACTGACAGCCCAAATTCATTCACAATACAAACATAATAGAAATGGGAAAAAAGAAGTGACACTCACTGAAACTTAAGTGTGTTTGAGTACAAGTGAAGAGCGGCCCGGTTACTGAAATACAAACAGAAACAAAGAAACAGAGAAAAATCACTCCAGAAAATCTCTCAGGCCTGATATAATGATAGAGAGTGCATATCCTACCTCTTCCTGACATGTAAAGAGACATATTTGGCATTGAAGTTCTCGATCATGGCTCTGCTGGCTTGATCCATCAGTTTTTGAGCCAGTCCAAGACGCCTGTGAGAGCGTTTAACTGCCTGTATTAACACAAAGCAGTGCATTTATTTATACACATGCAGACAGGATGAAAGACAGCTTCAGCAAAATGACAAGAACAGCAAATGTTTTCAGATTAAAAACACTAACCAGTGATGTAATGTGTCCATGAGGCACATCGTCAGGATCCTCCTCCCTGTAAAATGTAAAATATTCAATTTACATAAAACTTATTATATTTATCTAAAATGTATTATTTCATCATAATTATTATGAATATGAAAATTTATTATTACATTAATTATAAATATTTACAAAATAACCTCTCTTAAAGGCAGGGTATGTGATTTTTCAAAAACACTTTAGAAAACTGATTCGGGCCGAATCGCAAAACAAACTTGTAGCCAATCAGCAATAAGAGGCGTGTCTACTCGTGATGTGGAGGAGAGAGCTTTCAGTGCATGGGACGGACATTAGCCGAGCCGAGCGACAGAGAGATAGAGATGGCGGATAAAAAACAAAAGAGGAAAACGTCTGCGGAACGATAAGGCAAGAAGTAGGACCCGTGTAAATATCGGATCAGCTTTCCAGCGCTGGAGAGAACTCAAGGAGCGGAGGCCTGCGATCGGACGCCGAGGTTGCTTTGTTTCTTCTCAATAGGTGAGTAACACCGTGTCTACAACAGCTAAAGTCTGCCTACACTGGACGCGATCAAACGACCGTTGAAAACCATTTGAAATGTGTGTCGGCACGTCATAAATAGAACCCGGCAGCAGTTTTCTGTCGAGGATTTGTTGCGCCGCACCGCTCATGTCCGTAGACACGGTGTAGCATTGGTTTTGCTTTGTTTCACAGAACTAATCGTTGCCTGGGTTGCGTACGTATATATGGGGCGGAGCTATCAAAATAGGGGCAAGACCCTTTTGGGGTAGGGGCGTGTTTGTTTTGGTGATTTCAAATATCAACATTGGCTACCAGAAATCACTTACTCTGCCTTGAAAGGGATAGTTTACCCAAAAATGAGAATTCTTGTCATTATTACTCACCCTCATATCATTCCAAACCTGTATGACTTTTTTCTGTAGAACATCAAATGAGATATTTTGAAGAATGTTGGTAAACAAACAGTTTGGGTTTCCATTGACTTCCAGTGTATTTTTTGTCCATACAATAGAAGTCAATGGAAACGGAAACTGTTTGGTCACCAACATATCATCTTTAAAGGAGTAGTTCACTTCCAGAATAAAAATTTCCTGATAATTTACTCACCCCCATGTCATCCAAGATGTTCATATCTTTCTTTCTTCAGTCACAAAGAAATTAAGGTTTTTCAGGAAAACATTCCAGGATTTTTCTACCTACCCTACGTTTCTGAACTGGAGTACACAGACAAAGAATTAACCGCGCGTGACCTTTCCAACGTGATTACGTCATACGAGAAGTCGCGGACGAGCTTCGCGGATCTACTGCAAAACGGGCATTTGTAGTTAAAAAGTATATAAATTTTATTAATTTTTTTTAAGAAAATGACTGATCGTTTGGCTAGATAAGACCCTTATTCCTCGGCTGGGATCGTTTAGAGCCCTTTGAAGCTGCACTGAAACTGCAGTTTGGACCTTCCACCCGTTGAGCACCATTGAAGTCCATTAAGCCCCGTTCACACTACAAGCGACACCACACACGCGATGGAAAAGAGCAGGCTCTGCTTCTCATTCATTTATGTTTTTATGTACGGATTTATATATTATATTATATTATATTTAGTCTTTTGCCTCCAATATGTTTGTATTTAGCGGCAAGAAAACTGATTCGCTGTCAACAACGACGTTACAAGGCAGCCAGTGGTGAGAACGCCCACTAACGACCTCATCGCCAGCCCCTGGCGACATGCAGCGATAAAAGTCGCTGTTAGTGTGAACGCAGCTTTATATGGAGAAAAATCCTGAAATGTTTTTTTTAAAACATATTTAAAAAATATATTTTTTTTTTTACAACTGAAGACTGAAGTCAGAAAAGACATTAACATCTTGGATGACACGGGGGTGAGTAAATTATCAGGAAATTTGTATTCTGTTTATTTTATTCTGTTAGTGAACTAATCCTTTAAGTTCCACAACAGAAAGTAAGTCATACAGGTTTGGAACAATGCGAGCGTAAGTAAATTGTGACAGAATTCTCAATTTTGGGTGGAGCATCCCTGTAACTTAACAACTTGGAGCATAACAACCATGGACATCTCACACATGAAAGCAAGAAAAACAAAACTTACATTTTAGCCAACACATATCCCACTATCTTCCCATTCTCATCCTCTGCTATGTATGACAGCTAGAAAACAAACACAGCAGTTCAGTTAAGCAGTTCAGCATATGATGTTTGTACACAGATCAGTGTCAGTCTCAGACCTGTGGCCAGGACAGGCCGTGATAGAAGTAGTACTTCATCTGATAGTTCTCTGGAAGACACAGCAGGTTGCAGTGCTGCATGTTCATCAGATCCTCTGGCTGGAAACATGTAAAAGAGAGAATCATTGAGTCAAGCTGTTCTCTATCTGCCACCTGCAGTAGTACTAAATCATTCACATAAAATACATTAGAAAAAAACGACAGGATTAATTCTAATATTCAGAGAATAGAGAAGCTGGAAAGTAGTCATGTATACTGATGTAAGAGTGGTGGTAACAAGGTGGAAAAGACATAAAATGATACAAAAGTGCAGAACACGGTCACTTTAAAACTATAAAACTGCAAAGCGTGCATGAGTCATGAAAATAAAAAGCAAAAGGTAGATATAATAAAAATACAAATAAATAATACTGAATAGACTCAGTGCCTCATCGTCCGGAACGCGTATATGATGCCCAAAATGGGATTTGAGACACAGCCACTGTCTGATGACTAACGTTATACCAATGTCTGGCTTTACTTTCACTTACTCACCCGTGCGTTGCGTATATTCATTTTGCCCGCTGGATTGCTTGATAAATATATTATACGATATAAATATAGCTGTCAAATTGACAACGATTTTTCTATAGAATCGAATAAGCAGGTAGATGGACGCAGCTACACCTCTACAACCATGTTGCCCCTGACCGGAAGACGGATGTTCGGCTACAAAAGTCCTTCCGGTGATAACTATAATAAAAGTCCATGAAAAAACTAAAGCCTATTTGAATTGGTTACACAAAACCATTAATACATATTAATGATTTATACAAGATTTACATTCTGAGTTGTTAGTTTTTATTAAATTATTTATATTGTAAATCCTATTTATCATTGAAAATCAGAGTGAAACTATTCATACCTCCAGGCCTTCATTCTGTTTTATACCTTTATTTATTCCAGTCTTTCATGTTTACTTCATAAGCGTTTTTAAGTCCTTTTATAGAAATTGCTGTGATAGGATTTTCATGTGCATGACGGATAACATTTATTTAAACAATTGTACTTATATGTACAAAAGTCTCTATAAAGACTAATAAATAGACAAACAAGCAAACAGACATTTGAAAGGACATATTTCAGAGTCTCAGAGAAATCTACATTCGCTACAGAAATCCCCATGACTTTTCCAAGCCTGGACAAAGACTACTCGCTCAGTAATTTTATTGCAATGTTGGCTTTGCTGAAACAAGCCAAAGATCATAAGGGAATATGAACTGAAAGGACCAGATGAAAAACGCAATGAGAGAAATGTGAGGCATCTTAACTATGCTTTATTGTAAAAGTAGTTGTCCATTTTTAAGTAAAACAGAAAACACTGGGCAGAACTTTTACAGAAAAGTTAAATAGCTCACAGATGTTGAAGCATCAAACAAACAAACAAAAAAAAGATCAGTAACCAGAAATTAAAAATGCATTACAAAAGCCAGACAAGCAGTTAATCCCAAAATCTGATAAATAAATCGGTTGTTTTAAGCACCCTGACAGGATGTTGAAATTCAGTGCTGTCAAAAACACTGGTTCAGCGTCTATCTAGTGCTGAAACCAAAAGCAACAGCGAGCAGAAAGGGACCATGCCCAAATTAGGTTCACATTATGAGAGTGGTATAACAACAAACATTAAATCTCATCTATTAAAATTATTTACGGAGAGATGTGGAATGTAATACATCTGCTTTAATAAGACTAAACGTATTTGTGGCTCATTTAGCCAATCGGTGGGAACCTTAAGACATGGTGAAATGTCATATACATGCATGCATTCCTAATCCCTGTATGTTTCCTGTGGTTCAGTTATAGCACTTCATTTTAGATTTAAATAAGCATGCTACAAAAAAAAATGCAACAAAATACATGAACACAACTATCACTGCAGGAGTAGATTGTACTTTTATATCAGCGTTCTGCCTATAAAACACATCTGAAATGTGAGCAGCATTTAATGTTAAGACTTTTGCTTGAGGAAAGAATGCATAACAGAAGCTTCATTTTTCTTTAAGAATAAAGAAGAAAGGGAATGAAAGCGCAGTATAAAATTTGTATGAATATCAAAATGATGCTTAAGTGCATAACCAAACATTGTAAATGTTGTTCAGTCCAATGAAATATAGAATGAAATTTGAGAAATGTTCTATAAAGCATTATATATCATAATGAGATGGTTATAATCAATAACATCCAAAAAAAAAAAAAAAAAAAAGTGTTCGCTAATCTTGTTGGTCCTTCTTTACATGCAGTGCTAACAGAGTGCATCTTCAAATACTTAAGTGCCCTTTTCTCTCTTTTATTGCAGGCACTCATCTTGGGATGATTTTTTTTAGTCGTCGTCTTCTTTCACAGTTTGTGTGGGTTCACCCATTTGTATGTACCCTCGTAGCGGAATCCCACTTTCTGTACCATCTCATCAGCCTCTGCAGGACCACGGCTATAAGAGAGAACCAGAGAGAATGTGAGGTACATTACACATCACGAACAATTTCTTTAAAAAAAAAAAAAGTTTTACCTTCCGTATTTGTATTTGATGGGTGGCGTCTTCTGCTTCTCTATCTGATGAAGAAGAGGAGTGAAGATTCTCCAGGCTTCCCTCAACTCATCACTTTAATAAAACAAGTCAAATTCAGCAATGGTTGTTTACTATAACAACATATTACATTTACATTACTGTACTAATCATTGCAGTGATCGCAATGAGAAACACACCTTCGTACAAAATGCATTTGACTGCCACAAAAGACGTCCAGAATCAGACGTTCATAGGCATCAGGCAGCTTAACGTCCTTTGAAAAGGGAGAACAGAGAAAAGCACATTTATAAAGAGAAAAGGAAGTAACTTTAATAAAGATTTTTGGTTGAAATTAAGTCATTTTCTACATATGACATCCCATATATTATTAGTCAAAGTTGCCATTTAGGACAAAAGAGACAGAGAATGAATGAATGAAAGCTGTGTGTTTTACCCTGTATCTGCTGTGGTAGGTCAGGTCCAGCTCTGTCTCCTCAGGGCTGAAATAGACTCCGGGTTTCTTGCTCATCATCTTGGCGTAAATGGCCTCGTTGGGCTGCACACGCACCACCAACTCGTTCCTCCTGCACTGAGAGCTAAAGATGTCTCCAGGAACATCGGTGAACTGCAGCCTCACCTCTGCCTTCCTCTCATTCAGAGCCTTTCCACACCTGAGGATGAAGGGAACGCCTGGAGAGAGACGGGTAATCAAATGGTTTAATAAAATATCAACACATTCAGGAAGAGAAAGACTAAGGTATATACTGCTGTTCCAAATAATAAATTGACAAAACAATTAAAATCTATTTCCAATAAATGCTGTTCTATTGAACTTTCTATTCATCATATTAGAATTATTTCTGAAGGATCATGTGACACTGAAGACTGGAGTAATGATGCTGAAAATTCAGCTTTGACTCATTACATTTTAAAATATATTCAAATAGTTATTTTAAATGTTTTCACAGTGTTGCTGTTTTTACTGTATCTTACTCAAATAAATGGTAAGCATAAGAGACTTCTTTTAAAATAATTTTTTTTAAATCCAACCGCAAACTTTTGAATAGCAGCACATGTGCTAAAAGTTAATTTTGCATTTTAAAGCACAAAACAATTTCATTTTCAAGACCAAAGGGTTAGTAAAGCTTCTCATTTAACTCATTTAAATCCACTATTAAAGCAGTGCAAAGAATGCTTTTAATTTCAGAAACAGCCACAGGTCAAATACAGTATCAGCAAGGTCAACATTTTAGATCTTTGGCCAGACTGTAAAAATGAGCTAATTAGCACTTACCATCCCAGCGTTCGTTCTTTACATAAAGCAATGCTGTGGCAAATGTAGCCTGAGTGGAGCCTTCAGGGACAGTTTTGTCATCTAGATAACCCAGTTTAGCCTCTCCTTCTCCATCTGGATCTCCAACATACTGACCCAAGACCACATCTGAGACAGAGACCGGCTCAATGCACTTCAGCACCTTCACCTGTAGAGGGACACAGAGAGCATACAAAAAACAAAAACAAAACAAATATTAGAATGGGGATCTACAGTACCTGTAGAGAGTTATTCAGGATAATTCCCATTTATCTCAACAAAAGCACTTCAGTTGGATGCTTCATTTTAACCAATAAGCTAAGCTGTGAATGACATGTGATTGAACATATACACACATACACACGCAGACGCAGAAATAATAATAATAACAACAATAATAGTAATAATAATAACAACAACAACAACAACTCTTTGCAGCAGACAGGAAAAAGTCTTAAAACAAATAAAATTAATAAATAAACAAACAGGAAAAGGAAAAACAAGTCTACTTCAACACTGTTATAAGTCTTCAATAAATAAATAAACAGAAAAAAATATGTCTACTTCACACTGTTAAAAGCCTTCAAAAATAAGAAAAAAAACAACTAAAAAGCAGCACAAAGACAAAACTAAATTTAATAAAATAAACAAACATTGTACAAAAAAAAAGGAAAAAATAAACAGGGACAGGGAAAAGCACAAGCCTACTTCACACAATTAAAAGACTTCAAACAAAAACAAAATGAAAATGAATAAATAAACAGGGAAAGAAAAAACGCAAGTCTACTTCACACTGTTAAAATCCTTCAAAAAATAAAAAAATAAAAAGTACAAAAAACAAAATAAAAATAAATAACAACAAAAAAACAGCAAATCAACTAAATAAAAATTCATGAACAATCAAATCCCTATTAATTTGGGGAAAACACAAGTCTAATTCACACAGTTAAAAGTATTTTAACAAAACAAAACCGTACAAAAACAAAAATTAATATAGACAAAAAATAGGGAAACAAAATAAACAGGGAAAAGCACAAATCTACTTCACATTGTTAAAAGTATTTAAACAAAACAACCAAAAATAAAGTACAAAAAAAGTGCAAAACAAAATAAAATAAATAAAATGAATGAAAAAATAAACAAACCCTGACCCCTTGGGTACTACACATAATTATTATCATAATATATATTTAAAATCAATTATTCTGTAGCACAAACCAAAAATGAACACTACCCTGAAGCGTAATCTTTGATCCAAGACCTTAATTTAGGCTATACGTGCAGTACAGTCCACCAACCTTTTATGCTAATGGTTAACTGTAAGACCGAGGTGATGGATGGTTTTATTTGATATATTTGCTCCTCAAGGCTAAATTCAGGATCATCTAGATAAGTGCCAGAAAAGAGTGCTGCAAGGGGCGGCTGTACACAGTTCATTGGCTGACCGGCTCGTTACCTTCTCATCTCTAACATCATCAGAGCTGGTGGATGCAGGCTTCTCCATGGCAACCAGAGAGAGCATCTGCAGCAGGTGGTTCTGCATCACATCACTGGAGACAGAAAAGAGAGGATATAAAGAAAGAGAGGGATACATTCATTTACAAATCATGCTTGATTAGAATATCAAAATCCTCTCAGCCTTTGAAGGGAACCCTCATGAACAGAAAGTCCAATGAATTTGTAAACTTTTTTTGTTTGTCTTTGAAATTATGTGCATTTTCCCTTCATGCTTTAGGTTTCTTTTTATGGACTACTTTTATGGTGCTTCACACAATACACTTTCATTGTATGGAACATTTTGTGCAAGCATGAAAAATTTCTTTTTTTTTGTGTGCCACAGAAGAAAATCATACAGGTTAAATTAATCAAACAGGTTCAGTTTTCGGTAGACTATAATTTCATAACATGCAATTAAACATCTTAGTTTCACAGGTGCAAAAATCATCTCAAAGCAAGAAAACTAACCGAATGATACCAAAATCGTCAAAATATCCTCCCCGGCCCTGGGTACCAAACGGCTCTTTGAAGGTCAGAACCACACAAGCCACACTGTCCCGGTTCCATATGGGGCCAAATATCCGATTTCCAAACCTTTAAGGAAATAGGAAAGAAAACTGTAACTAATGAAACACGGAGACAGATGAAGAGATTCCTGGTGGAGTTTAACCCTTAATTATGCACAAATGACAACTGTGTGTGACAGCCAGTGAAAAGCAGCAGGCAGAGAGGGATGAAAAGAGTCATGGGAAATGGAAAGAGCCACACCTGAGAACCATGAGGTTCTGGACCATCTCTTTGCCTAGATAATGGTCTATACGGTAAATCTGGTCCTCAGTGAAGAGAGAAGAGAGATGACAGGTTAACTCCTCTGAGCTCTGCAGGTCACGTCCAAAAGGCTTCTCCACGATTATCCTGTTCCAGCCTCTAACAAACATACAAACACAAGAAATATGCTGCATGTGAAAAAGGCCTTTGCTAGGGCAAAATCATATACACAGACAATTAGAAAACCGAACAGAAACTACACCTCACATCTAGCCAGTGACATTTTAGAATTATTAATATACTATTATAGTATTTATTAACATTTTGAATGAGCTTTTATTTTTATATTTTCAGTTTAAGCAATTTAGTTTTTTTCCATTTTTATTAGGATTTGGTTTAAATTTATATTTAGATTTATTTTTAGTTTAAATTTGTATTTAGCTTTAAATTATTTTTATTAGTTTTAGTATTTAACAAACTTATTTAATTTAGGTTAGTTGCCAATGAAACATTTCAAATTTTTGTTTTAAGTTTTTAATCTAATATTTATATTTTATTTCAGCTTTATTTTAATTAACGAAGGCAATTTTTAATATATGGTCCCTATAAATGGCTCAGATGCCTTCTTCAACGCAAGGAATTTTTTCTTCCGCATGATTTTTTGTCAGTCAGTTTAAAATTGTACCATTCAAGTCCGTAACAAACTCTGCCCAATTTTTGGACATGATTTGCCTTGCATTACGAAAGCAATCACATCAATAAACAAAAATGAAACAAAAGCAACTGCATGCGTTTGCTCCTCACTTGGTGCTCATGCACTGATGTTTGATGTTCTTGGTGACGTCGTGGTAGACACTGGGCGGCAGGGCCAGGTAGAAGAGCCGGTTGGCCTGAGCTCCTCCAGGCAGGGACAGCAGGTGAGTGTTCAGGTTAGCGAAAGAGGATTCATCCACGTACTTCCCGCTGATGTAAGAGTTTCTGCTGAAGAACGCAGCGAGCCGCTCTGCCTCAGAGTCTGCCACCTAAAGGGAGGAGAGGACATATTAACACACATATGCAGTAAATAGACAAGTGCACATGGAGAAACTCTCAGAGCTGTGACCTTCATGTAGGGCATGCAGGCTGCGCGTATGGCATCCACGGTCAGATCAGAACGTGCAAAACCCACAAAATATGTCTGTTCAGGGAGAAGACCGTCTCTGAACAACCACCTACAAGAAGCAAACAGAAATACTTCAAATTGTTCAAAGGATTAGGTGTCAATAATACTTTCTGAAAGAAATCAATACTTTTATTCAGCAAGGACACATTAAATTGATCAAAGTGACAGTAAAAACATTTATATTGTTACAAAAGATTTCAATTTCCAATCATTCTTTTGAACTTTCTATTCAAAGGACCCAGAAAAAATGAAAACAAAAAAAAACTAAAACAGAATAACATTAATTAAACCACAATAATTGTAATTGTAATAGAATATTAATAAATCTTAAACTGTTTATGTTACAATATGATTAAATAAATGCAGCCTTGCTTAGCATAAGAAAATTCTTTCAAAAAAGTGTTTAAAAAATCTTACCAGATCTAAACATTGAATGGTATTGTACTAGTAAACACTAATATGTGTAAAAGCGTGTTATGTCAAAGTACTCACCACAAAGTTGGGTAGATTTTCTTTTTGGCCAGATCTCCCTACAAAAAGAACACATTTGATACATCACGGTACAATTTATTCATTTATGCTAAATTACACAAAATCCATTTACTGTTTTTCATAGTGCAACATTTTCAAAACTAGTTAATCACATCAGAGAATTTCAAAGAGAAAAGCTGATCGGTGATCAGTGTTAGATGATCTTAAAGGTTAAATGATGAACACGGGACCCAACCAAAAACTACAATTGCCCAAAAATCTAGCAAAAATGTACACAATGTATCCCACTTTAAGTAATTGGTTTACAAATGTAAAGGTGACATATCATGAATTCTGACTTTTCCAGGTTTTAAGTGCTATAATCAGGTCCCTGTGTTTCTGCTTCCACTCAAAATAGGCATTTTCAAAATGATAGAATAAATTATCTGTGGAGTATTTTGAGCTGAAACTTCACAGACACATTCTGGGGACACCAGAGACTTATATTACATATTGTAAAAAGGGGCATAATATGTCACCTTTAAAACAAAAATAATAATAAAAAATAAAAATTAAAAAAATTTAAAAAAAAACATATCATTACGGACACCTTTAGTGAGTGTCTTCTCACCAAATATTTTCTGTAAAGCTGCTTTGGAACAATATTTAGCATGATGACAAAAAGCCAAATATTTAATTTTGGAAACATGTTGTTTTTATAATATCATGCATAAATGGATCTGTAGACAGATATAGTTGCCTTTATAGTTAATGAAAGGGGTCCCTCACGAAGAGTTAATTATATTATATAAGAAAACCCCTGTGCTTGCTGTACTCCTGAAAACTGAGCAGGAGTATGATCAATTATTTATTCATTGGAGTCACAGAGCCATTGGCAACTTTTTTCTATATTCACATTTCTATTTTTGGTCAATGACACACTTTGTTTCTCTATTGTTTTTTTGCAATGTGTGCTTCTATTTTTGCACCTAGTTGACAAAAAACAAAAAAACAAAAAAAAAACACAACAACAGCAAATGCGCATTTAAAAGTCTTTTTTCTTTTCAGAAAGCAGAACACAAATACTGATAACCAATACTGATTTGCACTGGTATACAGTATACAAATGCTCTCTAGGATAATAATGCCCCTCTAATATCACCTGCCACTCACTAGCAATAGCAAGTTGCACCATCAATTGGTTGTAAAGTAAGTTACTGACATACATTCATTTTGAAAGTGTCATCACTGCTTTTGTTGTGTAGTTTTTCAGGATTGAAATCTAAAGGCTACTAGCTACCTAAAAAAAAAACCTGCAAATGGTAAATACATCTGCAAAGGAAAGCAATCTGCATTTGTTCAACTATTTAATGGGGTCTGTAAGCCCAGCCAAGCAGCTGTTTTTTTAATAAGGTATAGTCAGTTTATAGTCAGCTGTCACTATGACTCACTGTGATTGAAAAGGAATCAAAACCTAGGGAACTGCCATAATTCCTGTGGAACACAGTGAATAATTTGACAAAAACAGCTGATTATAAAGATGACTCTTTAAATAATAAATGCAAAATACACAAGAACAAGATGCAATGTCGCTTAAAATAACAGTTGACCCATCCCTGCTCCATGTGATTCAATCTTCTCAATGCAAAGGTCATTGATCTCAGCAGAACAGATCCACACCCATTCAGACACATGAGAAATGCTCCGAGCATGGTGAGACAGCAATATTCAGTTTGTATTGGCTGATTTATGGCATTGTGGGAGAGTCCCATCTCTCCAGATACACATTATTGGGGGATATTATTAAATATATCAGTTCGCCATTTCATCTATTAGTCACTCCTGCTGCTTTGCTATGGTGAAAAGTACTCAGTAATGGTGACTTGACAAATTCATCCATGACCTTTTAGCATGAAGAACGCAGCATAATCATACTAAAACAAACACACAAAACCAAGCAGCCAGAGAAACTGTATGTATTTGTTCTGATAGTGACTACAGCGTGTCTAAAGAAAAGTGTTATGCTTTACACTAAGGCTATGGGATTGATTTCCAGAGAAGTGGATGAAATGATAAAAAGGTACAAAAAGGTACAAGGTACAATGCAAGCCACTTTGGGGAAAAAAAACACAAAAGTAAAGGTACAGTAATGCATTTGACACCAGGAGATTCTTTTCAACCACTTAAGCAGCCTATTTTCTAACAATGGCAAACAGATAATTCAGACATGTGTCCATCCTAAAACATATTAAACACAATTAGTGGTGGAAGTAGATAATACACATAAACAGCATTCATTTATTCACTTACTAACTATTAAATCCAATATAATATTTTTATGCCAGATATTTTTTCCTGTGGTATTGTGTCAACAAATTCTGACGCTTCAGCATGTTAAGGTTAAAAAAAAAATCCACAAAAATATTAAGCAGCACAAATGTTTTCAACATTGATAATTATAAGAAATGTTTCTTGAGCAGCAAATACGCATATCAGAATGATTTCTGAAGGATCATGCGACACTGAAGACTGCAGTAATGATGCTGAAAATACAGCTTTACATCACAGGAATAAGTTACATTTTAACATTCAAACAGAAAAAAGTATTGTAATAATATTTCACAATATTACTGTTTTTACTGTATTTTTGATCAAATAAATGAAGCATTTGTGAGCATAAGAGACTTCTTTCAAACTTTTAAATGGAAGTCTATATAATTCACAAATGTGTAATCTAATTCACTCACAAAATAAAATAAATACTGTCACACAAGACAATATTTTGAGACATTCCTGTCCATTCCATTTATAAACGTTTTTTTAGCACATTTGCTTTATCTTTATGCGAGTATTGAAATTAAGCAAATCATTAAAGGCCTAGCTTAACTCTTTTACTTTGTCTGATTTGTGCAAAATGTCTTGATTATTATAAAGAGGTAGTTTTTTTTCACTGTTATATAATGGCGACTGATGAGCAGACACCCCATGTAAGTGAAGCAGAATTTCTATAGCACAGATTTCTTTATCAAAAATGACCCTCATGTGTCTTTAATTAGAATTAAGGGTGTCATTTGCAAAGCTACATAGTTCCTAATGACAGCTACTCACAACTGAGCACTCACAAACTCTCTAAGTTACGTACAAATTTGGTAATGTGACAGACTGGGGGTGGATGCACTGAATCTAAGTGGCTCAAGGTTAGACAAATGAGGTGATGTTGCATCTGCATTTTGACATGGTTTCTGAACAGACTCAATATTATGCCATAAACCTACTGAACACCATGACAACCAATGATCCAGACCTGACCATGCATATCCCTCTCTCCACCATCTCTCTGACTGCACCCTCATCCCAAACACAAGCCAGCTCTTTCATCTCGCTCGCCACACCAACTGAAAGAAAAGTGCTGACAGAGAGTGATATTAAATAATCCAGCTCACTCGCACCTATTTAAAACCCCAAACAATAAGAACAGGAAAAGCCAACAGTAACAAAGATCTTTTCACAAAGCAGTTGTGTAAAAACGGACTAGTAAAAAGTTGAACAAAATAAGGAGGAACAAGGAAAATCTAGCCAAAAAAAAAAAAAGGAGGAAGAGGGTTTAAATTTCATCACAAAGTTAAGAAGAGCAACAGTCTAGTGAGAAGTGTAAAAGCTACTACAATGCAAATTTCATTTTGATATTCTAAACACTTTGCATGATTTTTTTTTTTTTTTCATACATTAGGTCTTTCAGCACTCATCACAGTTTATGTGTTCATGCTGAACCTAATCAAGGCTCGATACAGTAAGTCTTTCATCACGACTAGCCAATCACAGATCTTCTGTCACCACACTTGACCAATCAGCTTTCAAGGCCTTAACATGGGCTGTGAACTGAACCGCTGAATTACTCAACCACCCTGTTCTGTCTGGATGATAAAAAGAAGCCCTATGTTGGAAATGTCCCTTCATGGTTGCATAATTTCTGCTGTACTTCCTTGTACAACACAACAAGGTCATTTTATTAATTCAGAGGAATCTGAGACTTTCTTCCTTTATTGGTTCAGCAGTTAACAGGCTGTGCTGTAAAACAAGTTGTGTAACCAAAGAAATTTGTATGTACAAGAAATAATATGAAATAGGAACCAAGTCATCATCAACATTAGTATGATTTTGGACAAATTGGACCACTTTTTGACAGTCATTTCAATGACTTTACTCTTCAAAAACGTTTCCAAAGGGGGGTTTTGCAATGATGCCATAGAAGAAACATTTTTGGTTCCCTAAAGAACCTTTATGTGAATAGTTCTTAAAATAACCTTTTTTTCTTAGTATGAAGAACATTTTAATAATCTAAAGAACCTTTTTCCACTATAAAGAACCTTTTCTGTACTATGAAATGTTTCCATGGATGTTAAAGGTTCTTCATGGAGTGTACGTCTACATGCACGGTCTATATTCTGGTTGGTGTCATATTCTGAATTTGATAGTTATGTGAACAGGCATCAAAATATTCCT